CCTTCATTCATGTTCTTCTGTAATGTGTCATTCTTATTGGTGCAGTAGTTTTTTCCCCATTCCTATAATAATGGAAGCTAAGTGATTTATACAAGAAAAGTAGCTCATTTGCTACAGAATTCTTTAGATTCCAGAGAGTGTCACCAGCCTCTGCCTGGCTCTTATGAGGTCATTTTGGTGAATTGGCATCATGGCAGAAGTGTATGGGAATAGATGGTTTACATGGAGAGTCAGGGAGCCAGAGACTGATGTAAAAGGGGGCCACTTGGCTCTCTGAGCAATCTTCACAAGATGGAGCAGGACTTTGAAGCTTCTTTTAATCCCTTCTGACCAAAGAGTATCAGTGACCTGACAGCCTATTAAAAGGATTGGGTTTCTTTTACAGCACTGCGGACTTGAACCACACTAACTTCTAGATTATGGCACTTAAGTTAATCATTTCCTTGCTTTGCCACTGATTAGAAATACACAGCTATCTGGCTGATTTTGAAAGAAAAAGAAAACTTTTCAGTTTTAAATATGCTGGATATTATTATTATTATTATTATTATTATTATTATTTTGTCTTCGGTATGTCATCCCTTTGGTTCAGTAGACTTCTCTGTATCATATTAACATGAACTATTTCAACCTTATGTATTTTACTTCCATTGATTTCTATGGAAAGTCCTTCTTAATCCTGTCTTTATTCTCAGGGTACATCCCATCCTTTGGCTGTATAGGTATGAAGATGAGGAAAACTATACGTTTCTTGCAGTATGAGCACAGTGATAAATTAAGAGTCTAACTTTCTTCTAAGCCAGGGAAGATTAGTTAATACTTGCTTAGTCTCTGAGGGTAAACTGAAGTTGTCAAGATTGGTTGTAAACTTTATTTTTTATTGTGATACTTAGTGTACTCCAGTAAGAAGACTATGGGAGGTGAAGTCATTGATCTACTACTTGTGATTCTTCCCTCACTGTGGAGATGAAGGTTACTCTTATGAGGTGACAGGTGAAGCTGGAGATTGCTCCATGCCATCCCCTACAATTTTCACTGGGAGTTACTTACAGCTTAGGCTGCCTTCCCTTGTCTTTTTCTTCAGAATACATAAGGAAATGTTTCCTCATTTGAGAGGGCACTGATAAGACCAAACCTTACAAATTAGATAGAGCCTGCCCTTCTCTTAGGGATGGCAAAAATAAAACACAAAGTCTCCCTAAAAAAGGTAGATGATTGTAATTTGGTAAAATTAAGCAAACGGGTTATGCCATTGTTAATAGGTTTCATCTAGTTTTACACTGTATAAAATGATAAGATATATGTACTGGGAAGGTGAATCTGTAGTCATTTAGCATCTAGGAACCCACTACAGTGGAATAACTGTTGGGAATGATACTCCATCTCCTTTCTATGTTTTCCCCTCTCCATGTTTTCATGTTCAGTTGCCTCTTAGATGTGAATGTGTGGAGGAGGAAGCACTACTTAAACTGAAAATGTTCAAAGCTAGCCTCCTTCAAATCTGTACGTCATTTGCCAGCAAGTAAATTAACCATACTTCTCTTCTCTGTACTTTGTGAATTTCTACATTTATAAACAGGAATGTGTCAACACAGAAGACATTTACTGAACACCAGAGCGGGGACCCAGGCTTTGATTTTGGTACCAGTCATGTGCTAGTAGATGCTATCTTGCTCTCTGTCCCTATATGGTGCTGAAATCTTCAGTCACTTCTCTGTACTCTGAGAATAAAGCTCAAACATCTTAGGTTGGTTTTAAAGATCTTGGTTAATTAGGTTCCTAGTTTATATTTGGTGTTATTTAATTTACCTAATATCCTGTGCTCATAAGATTTTTCATCTTCACCTTTCACACTCTTGAATCATTCCTTCTCTTTTCTCTTCTTCCCTGCGCACCGCCCTTCTCACCTGGCTTTTCTTCTTCAAGCTTTGAATTACTTAGCTCATCATCTCAGGAAGGTCATACTTGTTTTGCTTGCCTTAGTTTAGTCTCTTTTCCCCTCTGGTTCTTACTGAACAATTAATGAGTTTACCAGTCTATGTTGACTGTCATTTATTTTACAGTCACTTGTAATGGAACATAAATTTTGTGATGTTGGGGGTACCTGCTTGGTCTAGCATTGCATGTACATGACCTAGCCTAGTAATTTGAAATTGGTGCTTAGTCTTCTCTATTACAACTTAAGAATTAAAATAAAGATATAATAAAATCAGCGCTCTTTTTATGCAGTATGTGCAAGTTTAATTTGTATTCCCTTAGGATGAATAAAGTTTATAACAAAATACATGTTGTTTATGAAGAATATTGTATTAACTGAATAATTACCAAAATACATTTTTACTTCTAAATGGATATACTAATTCAGATATAAAGTAGCTGTGTCTTCTTTTCTCTCTCCTCCCTCTCCCTCTCCCCCTTCCCCTCCTTCTCCCTCTCCTCCTCTTTTTCCATTAAAGGGTTTCCTTGTGTAGCCCTGGCAGTCATGAACTCACTCTATAAACCATGCTAACCTTGAACTGACAGAGACTCACCTGTCTCTACCTTCAGGGTGCTGGGATTAAAGGCTTGTACCACCACAGTTTGTCCTTGGGCTCACTTCTAGACCCCATGTAAATTAAGTTTATCAGCTACTAGCTGTGCTCTCATTCCATGTAAATGACCTGGCTGACTATATACACTCTCACACCTTGTGCCATTGCTTGCTACAGCATAATTCTTTACCAGTAATTTCCATCCCATGCTTAGCCTAAGAGACATGGGAACATCCCTGAAGCAATGTACGTTCTATGTCTTAGGTGATAATATTCTATTTTTATTACTGTGTGATTTAGAATACATACATGTTAGCTTCTTGGATGGAAAAAATTCATTTCCTGCCATTTTGCCCTTGAAGGTCATACTGATTTTTTGTTGTTGTTGTTGTTTTTGTTTTTTTTTAAAAATTGGATATTTTATTTATTTACAAATGCCATCCCCTTTTCCCATTTTCCCTCCCTAGAACCCTCTACCCCATACCCCCTCACCCTTTTCACTTTTATACCATTTTAATTACATGCATGTACTAAGGTCAGTTCTAGGTTAAGGTTCTAGCAATACAATAGATACAAATAGTCAAGGAACATGCAAGACAATAAACACAAATAATCAAAGAAAAAGCAAAGCATTAAACCCAATTATATGAACACTTCCTCACTGTTTCTAAGGGCTTATCAGGATGACCAAAGTATCTGAGCCTACTATCTATCTGCTATCTGTCCTAGCCCAAGATCATTTTTCATGTCTGAAGCCTATTTTCTTGTTCAAGCCCAAAATTTAGATTCTTGTCTGAAATTACTTCTTTGTTCTAGCCTAAGATTAGATTCCTACCTGAAATTATTTCTTTGTTCTAGCCTAATGTCAGATTAATGACAAGGAAGCCTACTTCCTTGTCCTTTGCCAATGTCATATTCCTGTCAAGCAGCCCATTTTCTTTTCCTTGGCCTATGTCAGATTCTTGCCAAGCAGCCCCTTAGGCTCTCTGCCTGTTTCTCTTTTTTGTTTCATTAGCAAGACTGAGCATGTCCTAGGTCATTCTGACAAGAATGCCTTCCTTACCCATCATGGAATATGCATTATCAAAAACAACATACTTAAGGTTGGTAATGCTCTGTGCAGAATCTTACCCATCCTTGGCTTGCCAGCCTGTTAATTTAATAACTCTGTCTGGGGATCCATTTTCAGGTTCAAGCTATGTACTTTGGCTGCCAACATGTTGATGTTGTTAAAGACAAACTTTAACACAATGGGCAGGAATAAAAGTATTCCCAGGATAAAAAGGGCTAGCATGATCAAGCTAGATATGCCATTTTTGAAGCTTGACCAAAATAGAAATATTGACCTCAGGCCATGTGTAATTTTATCTGCAGTATCTACTGCACCAATGCTCAGCAGAGCAGCATTCTTGAAATTCATAAGCTCACTACATAATGTTAAAACTTCCAGAGAGGTGTTAGAATTATGCCAAATGCACTGCAAGTATCATTAAACTTCTTCCTAATTATAATGACTACCACTATAAATTTTAGAACTAACATGACTCCAATCTCATTTTGCTTGACACTCATGATTGCTCCTTACCCTTAAATTCTGAACCTCCTTCTAGTAATTTGAATAGGATGAAGAGCTTCAATCCATTCTTCCATATGCCTATCTAAATCCTCTTGTATATTCAACACATTAGTAACATTTTTTGATATATGATTAACAAAAGTAGCTGTCTTAACTTTTTGTTTCACAGCAATTGCAGAAGCAGTGGTGCTAACAATTAATGTAATTAAAGCTGTAATACCGGCAATAATCAAGCCCACTACCCTCTTGCTTCTGCTTAAAGCCTGCCTCATTTCTTCCAGTACTTGCGAGCTATTTTTATAATACCAAGGTTCTGTGATACTCAGGGCACTAAAAGTGACATTCTGGATTTCAAAACACAAACACAATTAGAAGGTATATAATCAATGCAACTTACATTAAATACTATAGAACAAACAAAAGTATTTTTAAGTTGACAATTAATAAAGCCTTAACACATGTGCTAACACCTGTTGTAAATCCAGAACCTGCCCCAACTTTATCTCTTGCCAACATAACATCATAGAAAACTGCAGCTAATTTCCATATATGTCTCTGAAAATGTCCATAAGCAGACTTCTGAAGACAGTTATTTCCAATATTGGATTAATTTCTAGACCAGTCTATGATTGTGTCTGAATAACTGGTCACTTTAATAACAATACAAGAAGCATTGTAACTTCTCTTTTTGATTCTCTGTTCCACAAGGTCCAAGAACTTGAGGCAAGGCAGCCAGGACAAAGAATGATGCTGTCCTGTGAGCTAGCTTGCTGAGTGCCCTGACAATAGTGACTGGGAAGCTATATTGGACATTAGTTCCTGACCTACCATTGTTTACCTATACCCCTGATGGTCATACTGATTCTAACATAAATTTCTCCTTTGTTTTACAGAGAAAAGGAATACAAATGATTTTGACGAGAAGAAAGTTCTTAAGAAGAGAATGAAGGAACTTAAATTTCTAGATCCTAAAGTTGCTCAGAACCTTTGTATGTATCACATATGAATATCATTTTGAGGTATCAATGTACTGAACATTGTTTCTTGATATCTGCTCATTTTGTGTCTTGTTTTCCATCATTTTAATTTCTTAGCTTGAGTACTAAGTCCAAATATGTCTATTTCATGCAAATTACAAGATTAAAATCTTGAAAACATTAATATGTACTAGACAATAAAAAAGGATTTAAGATGAAATTCTGCTTCTTACAAGTGACAAAGGAACTGCTCTTTTAAGTTCTTTTTTTAGGTATTAAAGTCATGAATTCAGGTGATGACATCATGCTTTTATTCTTCTTAACTATTATTTGTGACACTTGATCATGCAGGATAGCAGTTAGAATACTAATGAAAATACGGATGAGGAGTAAAATGAATTATTCCACCTGAGCAGCTCGAAGCCTTTACTTTAAAAGCAGTGATGGAAGTATTTTAGATTTAATTACTTCAACAAGGCCATTTCCACTCCAACAAGTCCATACTTCCTCACAGCGCTACTCTCTAGGCCAAGCCTATTCACACTACTACAATGTGTAAAGGAAAAATCTCTCAGATCCATAAATGAGTGTAAAGATTAAAATATTTATAAATAGCTTTACTGAGGAGGCACATAGCCATTTGCAAAGGCTGAATGGTATACTTAGCTGAGCCCATGGTGCCACTGTTGTCTGGGAAGGACAAGATGTGTCCAAGAGATGACATTACTTTTCAGGTAATTCTTGGATCCCTCAACTGAATATTTCTTATGTGTGTCTCAGTAACAGCTAATTATTTAAAAAAGAAATTTTGTAAAGTCTTTTTGTCAGTTGTGTTCAGGCATTAGGTCCTACTCAGAAGTCCTGTGTCACTAACCTAGCAGTCATTACAGCAGCTCTATGGTCGTTTGAGCTTTAACAATCTATTAAAGGGACTTCTAGAACTCAGGTATTATAGTGTAGGGGTAGGCTTCATGACAACATAAACATCAGGCCTGCCTGGGAAAGATGCATGGCACGAACCCATACTTCAGGGTTCCAGATTTCTTCTCTGATAGTTGCCCATACAGAGTATTGCTAAGAAGGGAAACCCCCTTGGTAGTTTGAAATTTACAGGAAGTTTTATCATTGATGCCTACATTGCTGGCCTTTGTTTCCAGTTCTTTCCGAAGGAGAGGTGATTGAAGGGCTCAAACCCAACACCATAAGTTATATTGCTACTCTGAACTCTCTGGTGTGGCCTAATATCTCCAAGCACCAATAACAAAAGCTACCAATAGGTTTAGAGATTATCTCTCAGTATGATAGGAAAAGGAACAGGACCTCCGAGGCCCCATGCTTAAGGCTAGCCATGTATGTCTTAAAATATCTCATTTGCCTAATGTATTTTCTATTTCTGCCATCCATTTAAAGTGATTTTAACCATCTTATTATGATATGTATTAATTATAAAATGTATGATACTATTTAATGTTTAACACCCATGGCTAAAGAAAAGATTGATTCTCCTTTAAAGGCTTATTTATAAACATCTTCAACTTTCTCTGACTTCCCATTTGAAGTAACCTCTTTGTCCTCAGCACTAACATTTGAAGCACTAACTTTCCTTTTTATAGTTGTGACTGTTACATGTACCTGCTCTAAAACAGTAACTGTGGTATCACCTACTGTTGAATTTTGCATAATAAACGTAAAACATGTTAGTGCACTGAGATATGGCAGTAGAGGATTTCATTCACGGTTCTACTTTAGATCATCTTTCACATAATAAACTTAAAGCATGTTAGTTCACTGAGACATGGCAGTAGAGGATTTCATTCACGGTTCTACTTTAGATCATCTTTCTATTTAGTATAGTTTGTTTGTTCTCCATACCTAACATTTTCAGATTTCTTTTTATCGATTCACAATTTTGTTTTCTTCCTGGTGTATTTCTTTCCCTTCCTTTTAGAGACTTTTAAAATGCTTTCAAGACTAAAACTAACATTTTAGATAATTTTTGATAATTTAGTCTCTTTCCCTTAATGTCTGAAACATAAAACTAGCTACTTTCTTTCTGAATTCTCAAATGATGTTAAGAGTAATTCCTTGATTTCTTTTCTCTTTAGCAGTCTTTCTCTGTTAATTATTAATTTTGTAGACTGTTTCTTCAATAGAATTTATTGTTTCTCAGAAAGTATTGGTAATGCCTAGGTTTCCCCTTAATCTCTTTATAGTTTAGATAGGTTTTAACAATCTATAGTCTCAATTTGCTTGCTTTTGAAGACTCCTGTCACTTTTCTTTCTTTCAAGTGATTCCTTCTGTAAATTTCTTGCTTTTTCTTTCTGGCTTTGCAGTTTTCTAATTATTTTTGAGGTTGAATGTTAAGTAAAACTCTGAATATTAAAACATATATTCCTACCCCCATCTTTCATGCTGCCTATCTCAAGTTCATCAGTCCTTCATGCTTATTTCATGTGATTCGATGTGAGTCCTTTTCTATCATCTAAGCCTCTGTCTTAGGGATTCTTCTCTGTCCAAAGATGAGCTCATTTGATGTGTTGTTTTATCACTTGGTGTTGTTAATTCTCATTTTCAGTTATTCTTCTACAACTAGTTGCATTTTAGAAGCAAGCACATTGTAAACTATTAAAACCTATCTAGACTTATAACTCAGTGAGATTAAGGAAAAGACTTGGTAGTATCAATATCTTCTGACAAATAAATTGTATTGGAGAAACATAGTCTTTATAAATCATTTCTTAACAGAAAGGTTAGAATGTTAAAGGAAACAATCAAACAATTACTCTGATACATATTTTGAACTAAAACTACACCAGGTGAACAACCAGCATTGCGTTCTCACCCTCAGAATTGTTGTTCAGCATCCTTTTGTGAGCATATGATTTTTATATTTTTTTGCTTGGAAGATGATACTGATGCCATTATCTCTTTTATTTCCATAAATAGCTGGGTCTTTTAGACTTCATTTTGTTCTGTTTTTAGAATATTGATAATAAACAACCACATCTTGTGACTTTTGGGAGTTAAAATATTGCAAATATGTCTGGTAGTAAGAACACAGAATATGCCCTTGTTCTCAAGAATGAGAAAGAGCCAAAAACAAACGTAGTTTATAGTTTTAGAGTTATTTGAGGCATACTGTACTTCTGTGCAATTGTTTCCAGCTCAAAGTCAAGTCTAGTCATCATAACCTTAAAAATAATGAGTGACTGGGATAAAGTCATGTTCTTCCTCTGCTCTTGAGAGCTAAGTGTAAAGGCATGAACCACCATGACCTGCTAAGAAATGGCATCAATTCGAAATGTGACAACATAGCAGTAGAATACTGGGGAGTGCACTGGCAAATGCATTGCATCTAATACACAGCACATAATAGCACAACATAGATATTAAAATCCCTCCTTGAAAATTATTACATTGTATAACCATCTATCTACTAATAAATATAAAGGAAAACCTAGGTAAAATTGGGAATTCCCAGTAATATATTAGCATCCCTTATCCATGTAGTTAATTCATTGTATAACTTTATTTTCTAAAATAAAGTTTTTAATGTTTAAGTGTTATTTAAGTGCAAATCTATTTCTCTAACATATGTTATACAGTTTTTCTGAATAGTGTTTGCTACTAGTATTTGTAAAGTCAATGAGCTTAATAACCTTTATGGTTAATTAAGGGTTTCATTTGAACTAATTAGTAGGACTGGAAAATGCTATGCAGGACAATGGCATGTGTGTGTAGACAAATACTAAATACAAATACTTGGATCTTATCATTTTTATTACAACATGACTGTTGTGTTTTATAAAAAGATGGAATATGTTTGGTGGATGTGTAGTCAGGTGTGGGGGAAGGGATGTGTCTTCGGTTCTATGCTGAGGCATCCCTTCCTTGTGTGGAATCAGCCAGATGAAGGTATAGTATAGAGTAGAGTTTATTCAGGGCATGTAGAGCAGAGTTGAGAGGGTAATAGAGACAGAGAAGGCAGAGAGAGTAGAGGAGTAGAGACCAGACATGAACATGCAGAGGGGGAAAGAGCTGGAGGACAGATGGAGAGCAAGAAGGCAAGAGGGAGAGGAGGGCGTGAGCAGCCTCTTTTATAGTGAGTCAGGCACACCTGGCTAGTGCCAGGTAACTGTAGGGCGGCGCCTAGACAAAATGTTAATGCTGGTTTTTATAGCTTATCAGACATATTTTACTGTTTTAAATCACTTGAAAATTGGCAGTGTTCCCATGGTTGGCAAATAAGTAAGGATTTAAAGTCAAACATGACACCTACATAAGAAATCAGGATAGTGCTTATGTACCAGCTCTAACCTGGAAGGGAATATGTATGTATGTGATGTATAAATGACCTGTGGTCCACAGCAATTGTATAAAATATGCAATACTCTGATTTTATATAGATAGAAGTAATTCTTGGATTTCTTTATGACTTTATACATTATATCCCTTATCCTACCTTTCTCAGCAATCTTCCTGAGCTCCTTCCGAGTGCCATATGAGAAAATAAGGGTGATGATATTGGAAGTGGATGAAACACAGTTGTCAGAGTCTATGATTCAGGTAAACAAGCAGCCACAGTTTAAATTCCAATATTTCATTGCAAACTTCTCATTAAATAGTAATCTGTAAGTGAAGCAAAATTCTTAGCCCAAATCATTGAACTGGAAAATCATTGCTGCATAATTAGTTTGTGCATAACTTCTGCATTGCCAGGAGATAAAACTCTGCCTCCTCTCTTAACTGTAAACTAAGTATAATGCTATCAAAATGATTGCATTTCAATTATTTTAAATGACTCTTTCTGAAGACAAATTGTTTCATTTTACATACATGTTTTTGTTACAGTTAAGATTGGTGGTATAGTAATTTAAGCTTGTTTTATATCCTTTGTCAAATGTGTTTACTTTGGCTTATGGAGCCATTATTAAGTAAAAATGAGTGAAGGAGCTTTGTTGCATGTTGTTGTTCCCAGCGCAACACTTCCTGGCATCAGTCTGCCTTGAGAGGAACTAGAGGTTTCTTGGAAGGTCCTCACATGCATTCTGAAGACCAGAAGATTCTGAAAAATGTATTTTTTTAATTAACTATTTTATTTTTTTACATTACAAATGTGTCCCTGCATCATGATTCCCTTCCCAGAGTTACTCACCCTATCCCTCTTCCCCTTTTCCTCTGAGAGGGTGCTCCCTTGGCCCCCACGTCTCTCTGGACCTTAGTGTATTTTACTGGATGACAGTGTTGAACCAAAATTAGTGAACTGCATTTAAGATGTCTAACATGTAAACCCTGACAGATGTGAAGTTGAGTTATCTAAATACAGTACGTGATGTAAGAAATTCTTCAGTTTTTCACTTTTTTCGGATAAGAACACACTTGCAAGTCTTCAAATAATAATAATAATACTAATACTAATAGTAATCACAGTAATAATATATATTGATATGTAAAACATAAATATTAATAATTATCATGAATAATCACAAGGAACTCAACAAGCCAAGCGTAGGGTCCTTTGCCTGTGTGCTCTGCATTCTGGAAACTGAGGCAGCAGAATACAAGGTTGAGGCCTTGCTGGACACCATAGAGGAATAGGGCAGGTGGGCACTAAAGATTGTTTACTATTTTGAACAATGATTAAACTTCATTAGACGTTTTTATCCTTTAATAACTGATATCTCCTGCTGTCCTAGGTTGCCTCTCCTGCTTCTTGTTTGTCATATGCTAGAATAAATTCTTATTTTTACAAAGTCTCCCAGTCTCAGAAACTACCTACATCATCACTTTTCCTTTAAGCACTAATTTTTTTCCTGTAGCATATATTGTAATTAACTGAACTTCCTTCCTTGTTTTTGATTGTGTGTGTGACTTCTTACTGAGATCAGATATCTGGTTCCTTAAAGAAAAATTTTTACATATTATAAATTTGTATTTGTTGTAATGGTTTTGTTAAATATTTACAGTTTAACTTTTAACTTGATTACATGGATTTTTCTTGATAATTATTTATTATGATAATTATGGTCTAGAGAAAGGAAAATTGGTCATTTTCAGTTTGTGATTAATGTCCACTGCAGGTTGAGTTTCATTTAATTTCCCAATGTACCAGTTTCCATTGTCTGTTGCAACATCTTACCTAAAGTTCAACAGCTTATAATAAGAAGTTCATCAACTTGCATTGCTGTCAAATACTAGGTGACCATGTTTCTCCCTGAGCTGAAATCACATTTTTTGGACTGGTCTGGATTTCTTTCTGTAGAAATTCTGAGAGAATCCTGAATTGTGGCCTCAACATTATTAGGCTGGCTCCCTCTCTTACCTTCGGTCCTGTCTTGAGCAGGTTGGACTTTTACTTCCTGTTTTATATGATCACAGATTTCTGTTACTGTTGTGTGTTCTCTCTCTCTCTCTCTCTCTCTCTCTCTCTCATATATATATATATATATATATATATATATATATATATATATTTTTTTTTTTTTTTTTTTCATCCAAGTTAAGGCCGCCTGATGGGAACTTGGATCCCAACTGTAGTTTTAATTCCTTTAATGATTGAAGCAGATACTTCCATAGATTCTTGCATAGATTCTTAGTGAGGAGACAAGCACATTTTTTGAGTCTATGTGGTATTGTTCTTAATAGCTTAATAAATATAAAGGAATGCATGATTTGAAAAACCTGACAAAATTGGACATATATTATGCTTTCACATAGTCATTCCAAAACAAGAATTTCATATTATTTGAAATCTTACATTTAGTTTTAAAATTTGCCTTATTTTTTCATGAGTATAAAAGCAAGGTATGACTTCCTAATGATCAACATTTTTGTAATTGTTCACTGTCACCTACATTGACATGTTTTTCATATGCACTATGTCAGCAGTGTGTGAGTTTTTAAGTCACCGATGCACGCCATTCTTGTATTAACATTGCTTACACTTTATTGTATACACTGTATGAAAAGCGTTGTGTGTGTCTATCAGAGACTTCATCTTCATGGAGTTTATATTTGCCAAGAGTAATGCCAAGAGACATTTGCATGCATGACTATAATACATGGTTTGCTTGACTTTGTTGACATTGTTGAGAACTAGAGATTGGAATGGCAGAACATAATCTGTGTATTTGAGGCTAAATCTCCTAAAGTGACATCTGAAGATATTAGCACAGAGGAGAGGATGGTTGAGTAACAGTGATTGTTCTTCCAGTGGTGTCCTGTGAGATCTGGTGTTAAACTGCTGGGGTATACAGTGTCCATGGGAAACTTAGTAAGAGATTGAAAGCATAAGAAGGTTGAACCTGTACTCTTATAATCACGAGTTTGTTTTTTTTATTAAAAAACCCCAATATTTAGGTCCAAATTTCTGAAATTCTGATTAAAGAATAAAATCTAAGTATCTCTAAAAATATTTACTGAGATATTACAAGCATATGATAAAATAGTAAGAACTTGAGTGTCCCCTGTAGTCAGGAACTTAACAATGTAGATGTAACTTGAACAGAAGATATTTTATTTATTTACAATACAGATGTCATCCCCTTTCCCCGTTTCTCCTCCCTAGAACCCCCTATCACATCCCCCTCCTCCTTTGTGCTTTTATACCATTTTTACTACATGCATGTATTAAGGTCAGTTCTAGGTTAAGGGACTAGCAGTACAATAGATGCAAATAGTCAAGGAACAAGCAAGACAATAAACACAAATAGTCAAAGAAAAAGCAAGGCATTAAACCCAATTACGTGAACACTCCCGTGATCACTGTTTCTAAGGGCTTATCAGGATGACCAAAGTATCTGAGCCTACTTCCCTGTCCTAGCCCAAGATCATTTTCATGTCTGAAGCTACTTCCTTGTTCTAATCTTAAATTTAGATTCCTGTCTGAAATTACATCTTTGTTTTAGCCTAATATTTAGGTTCTTGCCTGAAATTACTTCTTTGTTCTAGCCTAAGATTTAGATTCCTGCCTGAAATTACTTCTTTGTTCTAGCCTAAAGTCAGATTTCTGCCTGAAGCCTGCTTCCTTTTCCTTGGCCAATGTCATATTCCTGCCAAGCAGCCCATTTTCTTGTCCTTGGCCCATGTCAGATTCTTGCCAAGAAGCCCCATAGCTCTCTGCCTGTCCCCCTTTTTTATTTCAGTAATAAGACTGAGCCTGTCTTAGGTCATTCTGACAAGAATGCCTTTCTTATCCATCATGGAATATGCATTATCAAAAACAATATTACTTATGTCCTAGGTTGGTAAGACTCTGTGGAAAATCTTACCCGTCCTTGGCTTGCCAGCCTGTTAATTTAATAACTCTCTCTAGGGTGTCCTTTTTTTCTGGTTCAAGCCATGTATTTTGGCTGCCAACATGTTGATGTTGTGGAAGAAAACCTTTAACACAATGGGCAGGAATAAAAGTATTCCCAGGACAAAAAGGGCTAGCATGATTAAGCTAGATATGCCATTTTTGAAGCTTGACCAAAATAGAAATATTGACCTCAGGCCATGGGTAATTTTATCAACACCCTCTAATACTATTTTAAACCAGCAACACTTTGGGAGATTTTTGTCTTTGCCAAGAGACATGTGTATTCACTTGTTATTTTTGGTTGAATTTGAGTTTACATGGAGTCTAGTGACATAATTGGGAACTGTGACCATCCACTGTCTTCTCTCTTAACGCTAATACATTAATGCCTTATACCATTATATTTTGATACAAAGGTTTAGGATTGCTTATTTGTTTAAATTCCATCAGGAGCAACTAGCTCTTTAACTGGTTGCTTGTATTGGAAATGATGGAAGGGCCTGAGCCCCTGAAGGGACCTCTGGATTCTAGACTGTGGTAGATGCAGATCTATCTGTTCTGTCTGCAGGCATCTTCATCCTCTGTCTCCAAGGCCTTTACACATTTCTTCCCCATCAGAAAACTTACTGTTAAAGGTATCTTGAGTTTTTATTATAAAAACATGATCCTTCTGGTTCAGTCTTGTAAGCACTACATTATAATTCCCTTCCTTCCTTCCTATTCTTTCCTTTGCCTTCGGTAGCAACTCATGATTTCTTTGATCCCCCTGAGTAAAGTGCAGAAATATGTTTGGCTTTGCCCGAGATTTCTGACATTCAATTCCCTAAAGCTGAAATGTAATGGATCATATTTATCCAGGTGAGAAAGCTGTTCCTTTGGTAGTGGTTGAGTTCTCCTTTCTAAATTATAAGCTAATCAAATAAATATTCAGTAGTGCTTGATTTGAATATATAATAACTCTGGGATGGAGGAAAGGAAAATTGACTGTTTCCAAGGTGAGCGGCCTATTGCTTAAGGCTTAGGATAAGGGATGTTATCTAGAAAAAAATAAGATTAATTTCTTCACTGGTTTTCTCTCCACAGTTTACTGATTAATTTTCCAAAACTTTGTGAGTGGCATATTGTGAAGTTTCCTGTTCTTGGTTTTAATTTTTAGAACTTAATAAAGCACCTTCCTGATGAAGAGCAATTGAAGTCATTGTCACAGTTTAGAAATGACTATAACAGTTTATGTGAGCCTGAGCAGTTTGCGGTTGTGGTGAGTACTTCCTTATTAAATCTCTTCCGAGGTAGTGCAAAACAAGAGAAAACAATTAGAAAGTTTCAACAAAACTATTGTTCCTATGAGCATACAATGGCCATCTTATTTTTTTTTCTAAACCTAAAGAAGATATTTGTGACATTGTTTTGATTTAAAATACTATACTGAAAGTTGGGGATTAGATGAAAGCCAAAGAGCTCTTGAGAAGTATGTTTGTCAATTTTTTACATTCTATGAAACTGTAAAGCAAGAAGCATGCTCCTTCAGATCAGTGTTTTGTGATGTAGTGTCAGTCTAGGAATTCGAGCAGGTTGCAGAGTCCATTTCTCACTTCAGTCACTTTCTTGGGTTCATCTCATGGTTTTGATGCTAAAATTAGAAATACTTTGTTTTTCGTGGCAATGAGAGAGAAAATGAATTCATTTGAATAAAATCCTCTCAAGGCATCTTGTTCATGATTCTGTTTCCCCTTCCTGGTTTTGTAAGCTGGGGCCTAGAGGTGAAAACCTGTTGGTTTCTGTGTTAGCTGCATTGGAACCCAATTTTAAGAACTGCGTTTACTACCGAACAATCTTTTGCTGGGTCTTTCTCCTAGCAATAATGATCCTGTTTAGGTTGACTGTAATTTTCATGATAAACCCCATTCTTTTTTACTATTATTTAGAGCTTCCTCAATAATTTTCTTTCATGACCAAACTTTTTACAAATTTTAGCACAATTCTTGAATTAAATAGCATATTAATCAAATGATTTTTATATAACTTAAGAAAAAAATGAAGAAAATTTAGAGTATGGAACACTTTAAAACATCACCCTTTTTATTTGCGTCAGTGTAACATTTGATCTGAGGCTAGTCATGTCCAGTTTCTGCTGCAGTAATGGACCGCTGAATGAAAAAGAGATGAACTTCCATAGTCATCTTGTCATGCAGCATCTTCTGGAATGCAGAAACAGATTCATAACTCTTAAAGACTATTTTTAAAAATCATGATTATTTTTGTCTGAATTTTAGGTTATATTAAAATCCCTGAAACATAGTGGCCTTTTATTTGATACGTTGTTAGTGACTAATTTTTTATGCCTATCTGCATTCCATATTTGACATATTGTAGGCTCTTTCCATTAAATTTGTTTTTGTATCTTTCTCCAGTGACACACTTAACCTTCCCTACCTCTAAACTATGAGAACAACATGTAGATCTTTGAAATAAAACAGGGATTTCCTTATTCTTATTGCCTTGTGATTTTTTTTTTCGGAACTCTCAACCTTTAATTATTTTTAATTTTTATGAACACATTTATAGAAAAAGTTACAGATAAACATCACAAAAGAAAACAAAACAACACACACACACACACACACACACACACACACACACACAAATAAACCCCATAAATAATCAGAGCCAAACTCTATATATCTCAGTGACATTCTATACACTTAAATTAGGAATTTAGAATAGATGTTTGTAGCTTTCCATTAGATTTTACACTTTTACACTTTTACATGCTGTGACAAGACCCTTGACAACAGCATGTGTTCATTGTGGATCACAGATTGAAAATATATCCACCACCATTGTAGAGAAGTCATTGCAGGAAAGCATGGGGCAGTGAAAGCGAAGTTCTTAGCTCTTCTCCAGCACTGCACTGGGGTAGTGCAGGATGAGAGGTAGTAGGAAATGCATGCTTGTATCTTCCTTTTGTTCAGTTTAAGACCACACCCCGTAGCCTAATGTGGCTCATAATCACATTGTGTCCTCAGTCAAGAAGCTTGGAGAGCATTGGATGAGCGGGAGAAGGGGACTGGGGAGGCATGTTTCTTTCTTTTCTTCCGTGTAGGACCTGGCATCATAGCATAATACTGCTCATCTTCAGCATGTGTCTTGCCATATCAGTTAAACCAGGCTAGAAACTGCCCCTATGGACACGTCCTAAGGTCTGTGTCCCTGATGATTCTAGACCAGCTGTGCTCAGCCTATGATTTGTGACCCATTAGGGGGTCAAACAACCCTTTGTCAGCCAGAGGTCATACCTAAGATCAACACAAAACAAAGATATTTACATTATCATTTTTAACAGCACCAAGATTATAGTTAAGTAGCAACAAAAATAATTTTATGGTTGGGGGTCACCAACCACAACATGTGGAACTGTATCAAAGCATTATAGCATTAGGATGATTGAGAACCATTTTTTCTAGAGCCTGTCAAGTTGATAACACTTTGTATGACAATGAGTGTGGGGACTTAGACTCAAGCAGGACCTTGCACTTTCCAAAGCTCTGTGCCAACGAAGTCTGGTGACATGGGAAGTTTATCCTCCTGAAAGTATTTCCCTTGGCACTGTGGACAGTGCTGCACCAGTCAGCTTGTTATCCATGGTCATGACTGCACTATATTATCTCAGAAGTACCTATTTTGATGAAAAGTGAATTGTTATTTTCTTTTGTTTTTCCCCCTTTTCAGTCTGACTCCCCTCCCCCAGTCACCTTCTTCACACCCCCACCCTGTGTGCACCTCTCATTTTTACACCCACCCAACCAAAGGGAAACCTTCTTAAGGCTCCAGACTCCTTTACACTAAAGAATTCTATTGGACAAAGCATGTGAGGTGTTATAGAATGTTGGACATTTCCTTTTCTCTCTGAATTCAAAGCTCAATTTAACTTTGGTCCCTTTTTAATAAGAAATGAGTGTAGAGTTCATCAATTTTTTTTTTTTTTACTAATATCATAGTTTTAGGAAATTGGTTATAATTTTGTTCACAAGATTTCTATAACAATTTTTAAAAACTTCTTGAAGTTTTCTGGACTTCAGATATCTAATCTTTATCTTGTCTTTAAAACATACTTGCCTTTTAATGTAACTTAAAGTACTGTTCTGTTTATGATTGACCATTTCAGGTGCGAACTAAGTGATTAGTCAGTATGCTCTAGTGTTAGCTGTGTCTTCTTACTCCCTGGTGTGGAGCCAGGTCTTTCATTTTCATCTGCTTTCCCCATGGATGACTGCCCTGAGTTGTGGTTCTTCTCTTGGGTTCTGTCAGTGGATACTGCCCTTTCTGATTCTCACACTGCTCTTCTTCTGCCCTCACCCCTCTCTCCCTTCCTTCTTTGGCAAGATTTCTCTAGCCCAAACTGGCTTACCATTTACTCTGGAGACCTTTATACCCTCCAGCTTGTGCTCAGTTTTCTGTCCTGTCACAGAATTTCCTGCTAACATATTCATTTTGACAAAAATCAGTTTAAAGTCTAGTTGTGTTACTTGCTAGTGAGATTAATACATGTGTAAATTTATTATTGGGATTCATACTAATTAGAAACTTCTGATAAAATGCATTCTGCTTAAATACATGAACATAAACAGATGATGAACAAGCTCACTGAAGGGATTTGTGTTCTACTTGCTGTACTGTATGTGCAACATGAGCATAGTCAAATGTAAGTACTAATGCCATTAACAGACAATTTGTGTGGACCAAAAATATATACAAGTGTTTTTTATAGCACGTTTGAACATTCTAGAATATCATTTACAAATTGACTATTAGTAACACTGTATGTAATCTCCTCCCAAGTTTTATGGTTGAGATCAATGTCTATTGATATTTCCTCTATTCTACTGAGTCCTATAACATATTAAATCCCTGAAGATTTGTCACTATTTAATGTGTAAGTATTCTGCAAGTTTCTGATAATACAGATTTTCATCTCTATATCTAATTCTCCCTCAAAATAGGGAGAATTCTTAATGCCAATACTACCTGTGTTTCCAATCAAAAATTTTAAATTTAGATTAGACATTAATAAATTACAGTACTAAGGACTTAGCTGCTCAACTGATCTTTGTAGTAGTAATTCACATCTTGTGGACCTTTTCTGAACAAATTTCTCATTTGCTGCTCTGAATGGACATGGATAAAACAACTTCTGTGATGTCTACATGTGGCTGCTCATGTGACATATGTTAGAAGTTAAAACAAGCTTTTCAAAGATTAGTTGTTTGGGTTATGCTTGATCTTGAACTCAGAACTTCATATTTTGTAAACATACACAGGGTCATTGATCTATAGACTTAGTTCTTAACTCACTAAGCACTAATTAAAATTGTTGAAGTTTTATTTATAATCGATATATAGTAATTGTATATATTAGTAAAATACTATGTATAGTGCTGAATTTTGGGAAGTGAGCCTATCTATCACCTGTGTTGCATATCATTTTTATGTGGAGGTAATGTCTGGAATTTGTAGCTATTTTTAAAATATGGAGTTAAAATTTGGTGTTATGACTTTACTTTTATTTTTATAATCCATAAAGTATTGATACTGTTATTAGTTTGTTTTCTAGCAGATCTTAGTATGTGAAAAATACATCAAATAATCTGAACAGGCTTTCACTGAATGGTGAGAAATGAAGGTTCTGGCCTCATTTCAGAAGTTTCTGAGATGCAGCTGATCTTTTGTCTGTTTGAAATCATCTTTAATGAATAAAACCATTTCTCATGCTGTTCTTGATAGCTTGAGAGAACATTGAGTATTAATTGATTTCCTTAATTTCAGACATTTCTTTTCTATGGACAGCTTCAAGCATTTCATCTTAAGACACGGGTTCTTCTGTGGATGCCGTAGTGTCCTCTCTTACTAGCTTCTTTTTCATTCATAGTTTAAGAGATGAAAATAGAGTCCCTAGGAACTTGCTAACGGGATCATTTGCCTATAGTGTTTTAGATTCCTTCCTTCTCCCATCAACTTGAACTACAGCCTCTTATTAAAGGTTGATTTCATGGAGTGTAACCTGACTTAGTTGCGTGAGTGTGTTTCTTATATTTGCAGGGTTTCTTTGATCAATAAGCCATTAGGTAAAATCACTGTATTCACAGTGGCATGGCTTTAACTGTGTGAAAATGATTTATGTAAATATTCAACAGGATCAGAAGATTAGCTGAAGTTTGGAAAGGGACCTAAAAATTTGCATTTGAAGCTGGGTATACTAGA